AACCTAACACAGAGCGGGGCGGCGCGCTGCCAGCGCAAAACGCGCACTGGCCGCCCGCCCGCCACGTCGCAGAGTGCCACGGCGCCGCAAGCAACTATTTCACACCAGAGGTATTGCACAGTATCATACGAAACTGAAGGTGCTTTAATATATTGGTAATGGTAGGCATTCATCAAAAGTACGGAGGTTTCCTCGCAAAATAAATCAAGATACTACGGCCCAAAAAGAGAGCAGTATTCCAAAAACTCACTAAGTCCTAGCATCCGTAATTAGTGACGTTTAGCATACACTTTATTGTCTGGCTGTTGCTTAATCGCCATCGGCTATAAAAGGCTATAAGAAATTGTGTAGCTGGCTATAGAAGCTATTGGAAATCTTACAGCCGGCTGTAGGTCTATGGTATTAACACAGATTCTACTGCCGATTTTTACCAGGGACGCACTGTGTGTCGGTTTAATCAAAGCTTCTGAAGCGATATAAACGAGTATTTTTTGAGTAGCTTTTTAGTATAGCTCCTTTGAGCTCTCAAGTTTGTAGGTTTGTTGCATGAGCGGTGACATTGAAGGCAGCTCTCAGGTTCAGAATATCGTGAAAATTCATAGAGCTGTGTAAATGTGAAGCTCTCAAAAATACATTCCATTCGCTTTATTTGCGTGGCTAGATAAAGATGCTTAAGGTATCATATTGAAGACGAACTTATAGAGAAGGACATCTACCAGCAGATTTACACATCGTATTTTTCAAACCATGCAGTACGTTATATAATTTTGCGTCTTTCGAAATTTTCTGATGTGGCCTTCAATATGATCGCTGAAGCAACTACCCTACCTAGTACCGTAATTAAAGCGAATGAAATGTATATTTGAGAACTTCACATTCCTACAGCCCCACGAGTTTTAACGATGTTGTGAACCTTTTGGTGAGTATTATCGATTTGAAGCACGCCTTCAATATCGCCGCTCTGGCATCAAACCTACATATGAGAGCATAAAGTAGTTTCCTACTTGAAAAACACTCTGATTACGCATCATGAACTTGGAAGAACCGATACACTATGCGCAAACCTCTTGAAGGATATCATTCGCGTAAGATTCGCCTGCAATTTCGCCGCCCAGGCAACAAATCTACCTGGGAGTTCGAATAGTTGCATTCGCAAAACACCCATTTATCTCGCTCCGTGAACTTTGATAGAACCGACTAACAATAATGCATAAACTTTTTGTCAGGTATCATTCTCTTGAAATTCGCCTGCAATTTTGCCGCCTAGGCAACAGACCCCCACCTGAAAGCTCGAATAGTTGCATTCGAAAAACACTTATTTTACCCGCCCCATGAACTTTGATAAAGAGCTGATGAACAATGCTTCAACCTCTTGGCAGTCAGATGCGTGGCGTGCTTTACGATACATCGATTCTTTTGTTATTTAAACCTATGGGAAAGGATCGATCAACAGAGATTCGCAGCGACTACCTTATCTAATAATCGATTCTTTACCACAGCTTCAAATGGGGAGTCATCGATAATCAATCATTCACGCCTCGCTACTGCTTGGCAGATATCGTTCGCTTGAGGTTCACCTTCTATTTTGCAGCATACGGCATCATTATGAAGGGAGAAACTCATTAAGAGTTAAATTTCTCCTGTAGAGGCAAGCTGTTTTACAATAAATAAACTATTCTTACGCGAGTGTGCCGTAAAATTAAAAGTTGACATTACTTTGTAAGGATACCATCTTTCCAAAATTTCAGCGCTTCTTCAGGTCTGCTATTGGGAGCTACCCTAAATTTTAAAATAAGGGTACTTTACCTTTTTTTCACAGTTTAGTATGCACTTACTGATGTGTATGTGAATGTACTAAAGACCTCTTTCAATGACTTCTGAAATTTACCTACTCCAGGTCTCTGTCGCAGAATTTTGGGATTCTAGAAATGGCTGAAGAATTGGACTATAATTAGCAATGAGGAACCACTATTTCCACTATTCCACCATTTTTGGGAATAACTAAGGTGGCATTGACTTTTCTGAGCAGATAGATGATTTAATAGATGAGCCAGAGATAGTGGCTTCTTCCTGCGAAATACAATCCAATTCTATTGAGAGAACTAAATTTTGGCCAAAAGCACTCACACGAAGAACATTCTGAACCTTGACCGGGAAGATACAGAAATAGTCTCACATAAAGTTCCCTGTCACCAGCACCGGTATTTTCCTTACGTGTTATTTCACCATCGATATTTAAGTCAAATTCCAAGATAAAAATAAGCAATCTTACTCGAATTACTATTCATTCCGCAATACTCCATCATAGAAGGAAAAAACTCCCACTACTTCACTCGTCAAACTTCAATCAAACTGTCGCTCGAATAACAAGAGATAGTAACTTCATTTTCACGTGAGTCTTGTTAGGTATACGGTTATACGGCAAGCAGGGCTCATTTTAAAGTGTAGGTTACCCTGACGTTAGATGAGCGACGACATATGGTAACAACATAGGGGTTGAGCGGTTGATACAATCAGACAATTGACGAGACAAGCCGTCTCGTTTAACGAGGGTGAAGCAACCAGCTCGATTCATTGTAATGTCTTCGCGGAACGGGCGGCAAAATGCATTAGCGGTCGAATTAAAATTTCATGAGGCTCATTAGATCAGCGATGCACAGTGGATTGCGCCAATTAGGGAGGTCGGACATGACAGTTTTGAATAAAAACTGCAAATTCTGTTGTCTATTTCGTCACATTTTAAACTTTAAGGGGTGCCTGTAGAAGGTAATTTTACGAGGAAACCAATGAAACCACTTTTAGAACCTCAAAGTTTTGTATAAACGGAGTTATAAGCGTTTAAAGTTTCGGAATTTTGTCCGACCTCTCATATCGGCTCGATCCATCGTGCGACGCACCGATTTAACCGGGAAGAAACATCGATTGGCAGCGAAGAACCGTTTAACCCATTGTTTGGATTCGCGAACTGACCAAGGATTTAAACGGTGCTATTGCGATATGCACGTTTGGAATCGAAAGAGAATTCGACATCGATAATCGGCTTACTGCGAGTGTGTTGTCTCGCCTCACCGTGCCATGCACTAATCCGGATGATTTAGGCGACAATCAATTATTTTCCATGCTTGCTTGAACTGTTAGTTTTGAACTTTTGATTTTCCGGGAAATGAGCCATTGTCACCCAGAGGCAGATTCAGAGTGAGTTTGAGTGGGGGGTCGCTGGGGGGACACCCCCTGTGAGGCGGGGTGCCCCCCCCCCGGAGACTTTAAAGAAAATAGGCTCTCCTCGACTGAATTTTTAGCAGTTTTAACATACAACTTGGGCATTATTTGAAAGTTGAAAATTGACGAATCATACTTCTTTCAGCGCAATTTTACCTTAGTGCATGGACTAGGTATTTATTCCTGCGGTTTTGAGTAACCTTTGGCTTGGTAAACTTAGGTCACTGTCTCGAAATCATTTCAGTATATTTTTAGGAGCAATTTTTTTCTCTCCCTTTTTGCCCTCCCCCTTTCTTCCGTTTTTCCTTCTCTCTTTTTCCTCTCGTTTTGGCCCAAGGTGGGGGGGGGGAGGGCATGCCACCATTGTTGACAATTTCTTCGTGCCCGTGACGTCACACATAACAGGGGCAGCACGGAGGCAGCGTATCCATGTAGAGGCATTGACAGGTGCCGGGACGTTCGGGAAGTAGGGATTAAAAAAGGACGGGTCACAGGATAGAGACAGTCTGGGGTCCCCCTCGGAGGGTAATTATTTCGCAGGGTAACCAGAATAACCGGTCTGATACCATCAATGCACTCGCGTGGCAAATATAGGTCAATTGCATCACATGCTGCGAGCCTACATGCACTTAATGCACTTAAGTGCAACGCAGAATTCGTTCCTGATTCCGCATATCGTAGCGCGGGACGAAACACCCGGCTCCATGTCAATGTGTCCCGCAAATCTGGTTCTGACATCGAATTATGGAGCAAATCAGGAATGCACACTGAAAAAAAATTCGCGGCGTTTTTACCAAGGTCCGTTGGTACCTTTACCATCTCACTTTTTTTTTTTACCAATTATTGGTAATTTTACCAAGACAGACTAGTAAGCTTACCTAAAAACCGGTATTTTAATTGTTTTTTCAGGTAAGAATACCACTTTTATTGGTAATCAATTTCCGGTAACTTTGCCATTTTATCTCGGTAATTCTACCAGTCGATAAAAAATATCGGCGTTTTTACCGGGGTCCAGTAAAATTACCGAGCGAGATTTCTCGGTAAAATTACCAATTCCATAAATGGTAATTTTACCAAAAAAAAACTGGGATCAAATAGAACCCTGAAATCTTGGTAATTTTACCCTTTTCTTAGTAAATACACCGAGATTTTTTTTCAGTGCATGCTTTGACCCCCTACTTTCTCATTTTTCTGGAGAGGAGATGCGTCCCTTTGGAGAATGGGTCAGCTGTGCGTGTTTGAAGATCGTCATGGATTAGTTGCGCTGGTCACAGAATTGTCTTTTGGTGTATGATTCATGTCGATCAGCTAAAAATAATAAGATCTGTTTAAACAGCAACTATCTACGTTGAACATTAACCGGGATAGCGCGCTTTGAAAAATTCGTTTAATGACGTCATCCACCGCGATGGTGACACTCTTGGTTTCTCCCACCTTGCTTTCATCCGAGTTTCACGTTGAGTAACCAGTGCAAATGTGTGTTTCCCTGACTGACGAAACGAAGGTGGAAGAAACGAAGGGTGTCACTACCGAGGTGGATGACGTCATACACCGACTTTCTCGCATTTAATGGATGTATTGATGGGAGATTGAAATTCGAAAATAATCAGAATTTCCCTGCTAAGCACCCTTGAAAAGTCAGGACTGATCGTGTTGAAAAATTCCCTACAAAGATATTGTGAGAAATATAAGCTCCTCATCGCGAAATGTAGTTCATTTCATTATACATTTTTACCGAAAGATTTATCGGTCTTCGAAAAATAATGGACGTGTTAACTCACGAGCATTCTCGTCCCATAATTCTTAAAAAGTCGATCTTCTTTTTTGGGTATACCTATTTCAAGGTTATAGATTTAATATGTCCTTGGTGTTAAAGGTTCGTGTGACGTTGTGCTTGATTTGGAAAACGGAATGTTCCACCTATGTCTCTTGCCGCATTGTTTAAAATCCGGATTTATATAAGGCTCGCACACTTGTCTAGCACTGATAAACATATTTTTCGGTCTTCTTGAGAGGGGTTCTTCACTATTAGCACGCACATCACTGAAAATCGTGTGAAATATGACTTTTAAAGAGCAGACTGTCCAATCATCGTAGACATATCCGAGCAGGAATGCTATTTTCCGCGTCTTCACTCCAAATCGGGATCGTCTTAAACCTCGGACCGTTCATTTCACATCACTCACGTCCGAAAGACCGTGACTGAAGCTCTTTGTTTTTGAGTGTACGTTTACCGCTTTTTTGTCATTGATCATGCGAGCCTGGCATCAAATCACGCCTTTGTTGCATAATTCATTTTGGTTATTGCCCATAAATGTCAAAATTTACGTTATGACAATCACGAATTTTGTCTTTCTTATTGCTTAGATCTAATCAACATTTACGAAAAGAAGTACCCTCCCTTTTTTACAAGGCGAATTTTTGCATACATATAAAACGGGGGACCGAAGTAGAATTGAGTAAAGTTACTACAAATATTTTAAAAAAAATAAACAAATAAATAAAGTCAATAACCGATGTTTTCATTTTAAAGATTTTTTCCAATTTTGAAAAAAAAAAAAAAAAAAAAAAAAAACTGAAAAAAAGTTAGAGGGACCTTGATAAAGGGTCATCTGATCTCCTCAGATTATATATCTTAGACTAGTGACTACCGTCATCGTCACACATAATATTTTCAGGATCATGGAAATCAATGAGCATTATCAAAAAATGAAAATGCGGTTACTATGACAGTAGCAAGGTGGGTTGCATACCCCAATATTCAAAGGCTGTTCATGTTTTCCAAAAAAAATCGGATATACCATTTCTGGTTCGGCACATTCAAAATCTGACTTTTTTACCATTTGATGAAGGCTACACGGAAAAAAATTGAATGTTGCTGTAGCATTTATACTGTTCAAAAAATGTGCGACGAGTATCAAATGTTGATTTTACATTTAAAAAATGCTACCTCAACATTGATGTTCATTTAACCGCGGACGTAGTTAACGTAGCATTTTCCTTCGTAAAATCAGTATTTATCGTGTCGCACATTTTTTTGACATTACCTCTACATGCTGAAAGAACATTCAATTTTTTCCCGTGTACCAGGTACCAGGTACCTTCACCCAAGAACACTTCGTGGTTTGGCATTAATGCCACGTTTTTATGTCGTGTGGCGCCACTGTGAGTTACCTCATCATTTCCGACAGGAAACATGCTAGTCATTAGCCTTCCGAAGTGTAATTGAAATGGGCAAGTTAAGACAGTTCTCATTGTTATTCTTCAAAATAGGGTGCTCGTCTAATGTTTCGGTGTCTTCTTCAGACTTCTTTTGTACGGGCACCAGCGCTTAGTCGCGTGGTAATCGGGGAAGGAAGGAGCCCTCGTATATTCTGATTTTCAAGTCCAAGAGTCTCGCGGCATGCATGTATGGAGATCGCAATCAGTTGATATTTAAGGAAGAAAATTAATTCGTGTATTAAAAAAAATTAAATAAAAAAAAAAAATTGTTAGCACTAACTTTCCCTCAACCGTATCTTGTTCAAAATTCAAAATTGAAAAAAAAAAAAAAAAAAAAAAAAACTTTTTGAAAAAATTAAAGGTTGTTCAGTAAAACGACCCTTGCATGCGAAGAGCATGGCTTTCTAGACCCCACGTGTTAACACCGCGAAAATTTGATGTTAACCTCTCAAAACAAACTTCTACTTGAAGTCTCATTGCGACGATTTAAATGGACCACGTTAAGCAGAAAGGAACCAAGCCACATCAGCTAGGGCAATTTAATTTTTTACCTGAAAACGTTATGTGCAGATCTTTGTGCAAAGTTCAGTAAATTTTTTTGCGTAGTGCGAAGCAAATTCCTTAATATTTTCAAAGGAATTCGCATAAACATTCTCTTGTAAAAAATTAAATTGCCCAGTTGATTTTGACAATAGCTGATGTGGCTTGGTTCCTCTCTGCTAAGCGCGGTCCAAATAACGTTGTAACATCTCTGCTACTTCGATTATTATCGCATTGACTGGTGACGCTCGAGGGGAAAGTAAATACCAACTCCTCTCACGTAGATCTTTATACCCTTTTTGTAGACACAGAAGGGGGCATGAAGTGGAATCGAAAGTTCTAACTTGCTAGTCTCTAACTTTGAACCAGTGACACTGTAAGCTCTTTCCCTATTTCTCTGGAGGTCATGGACGCAAGTGACATGCATAGTTCTAATTGCACCGCGTTAAGCAGAAAGGAACCAAGCCCCATCAGCTTTTGCCGGATTTAACCGGGAAATTTAATTTCTTACAAGAGAACGTCTGTGCGGATTCCTTGGAAAATTTTGAGAAATTTGCCTTGTACTTCGCAAAAAATTAAATGAGATTTGCTTTAAAACCCGAACGACTGTTTTCGTGTAAAAAATTAAATTTCCTGATTAAATTTCGCAATAGCCGATGTTGCTTAATTCCTTTCTGCTAAACGCAGTCCAATTATAGTGTTATCGGAATTGAATCGGACGTTCAGTGATATTTTTATGTTTCGTGTATAATCATGCGTTACACCTGACGTGTGAGTGAGATAGACCTTATTTTCTGGGAGTTACAATTTACATGCGCGAGATTATGGTTTTAACGGAAAATTCTTCGGATGTTGACATTCTGAGGAACACGCTATTTATTTTGAGTTTCAAAATTTTCACTGCTTCTCTGCTTCTAAAAAGGATTTGAACTAACATTTTTGAATGAAAATATTTCCAGGGAATGGTCACCGAGATAGTTTTTTGCCCACTCAAGGTGCAGTTAATAATCTTTTGTATCGATCCTTGAATGAAAATATTTCCAGGGAATGGTCACCGAGATAGTTTTTTGCCCACTCAAGGTGCAGTTAATAATCTTTTGTATCGATCCTTGTCACTTTAAAGCGCAAAATAGGAGTGATCGAGAGAAAGGCCTTCAAATTATCGGGTAGGCAAAATGAGCTACCGCAAAGTACGAATAGTTATCTCCTCCGCCTTTTTCCTCCAAAGGCAAGCTCTGCTCGAAAGTACCCTTGCGCTGCAAATAAAATTTTCCCCCGGAGAGTAGTTTGCAGCCCTTTGGCACAATTTTACGACAAAATAAAGTGCCTCTGAGCCAATTTGTGATTACAATTTACAGAGCTTGGGAAATATCGCCGAGCAACAACACTTGAAAACTTTCGTAAGTTTTTTTCGAGTAAAAATTCTGTTATCGTAACTTTCAAAATTTCTGGGGGAGCTACTAACAGAATAGATTCCTTCATATTTTCAGTCCTAACTCGTCTGGTAATCCTGCTCCGTATGAAGTGTTTAATGCTACCCACGACCGCATGAGGAATATGGCAATTCATTTTGCGTCTATTAAAAAATATCATAGGTCATAAATAGAATATACCTGTTCAGCACCAAAGAAAAGTATTCACATGTAACTCTTCTCCTAAACCCTCCTTTTCCTAGTTTGAGAACAATGGTCTAAGTTTATCAGAGACGAGCCCAGGTCACATTTCATGTAAAAAATTCAGTTATTAGTGATTCTAAGCATGACTATCTTTAGTCCCCCAAGAAGTCTAGAAAAACGATTAGTGTCATGAATATGGATATGAAGCTCATGTTCTACATTGTGTCGAAGTGTCGAATGAAGGAAAACCCCGTCGCACATATTCTTCGCTGGTTTTCTTTAATGTGAATTGGTGATTTTTTATTGATTGTGAGTTCAGTTCTAATGCAAAGTAAGTTTCAAGTATTCATAAAGATTGGAATTGGCGGTAACATGTATGAAGTGAAATCGAATACTTCATATGAGACGAACATGAATGAAGTGGAGAGAGGGAAACAAATTGAAAATATGGGAAAAAAATCAGCTGACAAACTTGTGTCTCGTATAACAGAAAATCAAAACACTTGCAAAAAAAAAAAAAAAATTAAATAGTTATGCGTTACAACTTTAGTTCTAGAGAGGGCAATCTTTCTGCACATTTTCAAGTATTTTTGAAGAATTTCGGGAACCATCCCATTTGGCATTACGGATCATAATTCAAATCCCAAACAACTTGACTTGCGCAGACTGTCTAGACTACCATATCAGAGCACGTTTAACCGAACTCGACCCCATGCCATTATCAATAAACACAATGCAGACGAGATATAAAAGTCAAAGGTCAGGTGAAGTAATTACCGAAAAGAGGAAATATCCGTGGTGCACGAAATCACTCTCACATGGGCCGCGACTCGGGAGTCCGGCGTTACGGTTATCACCCGCGGCAGGAGTCGCGCTCGGCGTTAACGAGACGTAACGCCAACGTAACGTAAACAAAACAAAGCGCGACAGAGGGCAGTGGGCACGCTCCGCTTGGAGCAGGGTGACCGAACAGGTTGCGTTTCACTTGACTACTGAGTACTGATCACAATTCCGTCAGGATCCCAGCATTGCCATGGATGCCGCCGCTGTCTTTCTGTTTCTGTTGCTGTTGGTGACGATGGACGACGAATAAGACGGGTGGATCTCAGGTCCCGGCTGGTCGTCGGTCACTCCTAGGACCATTTGATCAACATATGTTATCACCGATGTTGCCGAACCGTGCAATGATATCAATAATAATAAGAATGGACTCATTTTTTTTCCGGTGACCATAAGAATATAATTGGCGAATTTCCGCAGAAATATGGAATTTTGGGAAACCCGAACTGTAATCGTGGTCAACAAATTTCAAAAAATTTCTGTTATTTTTCGTGAAATTTTTGAATTTTTGTAAAATTTTTGATATTCGAGCGGCGCTCATATCTGAAAAAGCGTTGAAAACCCATACTCAAGGTCAGATTTAAATCAGATAAATAATTATAAAAAAAAAAAAAAAAAAAAAAAAAAAAAAAAAAACTTATTGAACCTTTTTTTGGAACGAGGAAAAACCTATTGAGCCCCGAAACGTGTTAGAGAAAAATTTATAAGTATATTATAAATGCCTTTCAGGGCGTATTTTGGTAAATGTAGGCCAATCAGCAAGACAAGCACTTTTATAGGACGGGAGAGACATCGATTAAAAATTGTTAAAATTTTGCCACTGTCTTCTATTCCCGTCGCTGGTTGCATATTTTACCACAAAAATTTTTCAAAATTGTACAATTTTTGTACACCTTACAGAGCAAAAGTGAGAAAAGCTCACAGTCGAGACAGAAAATTTTCCCTTCGATTTAAACTGGTCATCGTTGTCCTTAATTAGGTACCTATCCAAATT